ATATTAATATTATATAGATACCTACATAATATATATATATATGTAATAATATTATAATATAACATTGACGCGTTCGTATTATTACTATTATTATTATTCGCCTGGGGCTATTACGAATTATGGTTTCAAAATTACTATGTACATGCTGGATATGATATACCGCGTGGCCGTCGCATGTATAGTGTATACCTACTAACTATGTATATCATATATTATTATTATATTTAAATATTTTGGCAAGCCAATACCATTATAATATTGTACTTATAAATAACAAATAATATTACGAAGACTACTATCTGTATTGCAGTAATCGAATACCTAATAATAATATTACTATTATAAATATTTTTTCATGTTATAAAAAATGAATATAAACAAATTGACTTCGTGACAAAGTATGATAATTACCTAATCAGAAAAACACTTAAAACATTTATTGATTTTTATTTAAAGGATCGTCATCGATTTTAGTTGATTTTTTTTTAATGCATCTGAATGCATCTGCAGATAAACGTTTTTGTTTTATTTAAAAAACTAATAATTAACAATAATAGGCGTTATTTAAAATATAGATTTTTTTTGGTTTATACAAACGTAGGTAAATCCGAATATTTTATTCTTAGATAATGCTTCATAATGCTTCGAATTCAAATTAATATTATTAACGTTGTGAAATCACTTTTTAGTTTTTATTAGTTTTGTTTTTGATACAAATGTTGATGATGTTTATTTTACATTCATAATCAATAATATTATGATAATTTAAGAAAGCAGTATAAATGCCGAATCATGTAACAGATGTAGGTAGTTTAAAATGCATTTATAAATGGGTATTTAAAAACGAACAGTATTCCCGTGAACTGTTCACTGCTGTGATTGTGCGTCAAAATCAAATTACTGAAAGCTAATGAATATATCAGCAGCAGCAGCAGTAGCAGCAGTAGCAACTAACCCGTGAAGTAATGATAGAATTTAATATTCTCGAACTTGATGTAATTTATAGCGTTATAATTATATTAGTCCTTTCCCCGCCAGCACTCTCGAAAAACGTCACAAACGACATAAACTTATTTTAACAGTATATGTATTGAAAATCTTTACTCATAATAATTCAATATTGACGGGAAATTTAAATTTAAAGCATCGTCTTTATCCCCGCGTTAACCCCAACACTATTTATTATAATAATATTGATGAACCGATGTCCGCCAATCATATATTTTGTATATCGTCGCTGTCAAATCGTATAAAAATAATTATATACCAACAGCAATGTTCGAGCTGGTCAAGGCGAGAGCAGACACACACACACACACACACACACACACACACACACACACACACACACACACACACATTATTTGCATTCTATCGAAGAATTATATTTTGCTTATTTACTTATTATTTTATACCCAAGACTGTTTACATTGATTACCGTGAAAATTGTATGAAACATCATATTTAAGTACAGGTGATTTATTTTTATTTGACCAAAATCGTTCAATTCGTCGTTTCTGTTCAAGTGAGTTTTCATTGAATTAAAAAAGTTGCTACATCGATCAAATGTCTAGAATATTTGCTTACTATTGAGGTCAGCACAATAAGAACCTGCGATGTTTCTACTGGTTGTAAATCATATAAATTATATTAAAAACTGTTTGGAGTTATAAGACGTTGAATTTAAAATTACAATTTACACGGTTTCCGGAAATAATATTATAATTTATATAGAACTACCTAATTGTATGCATTTATTTACACCGTTTTGAGTTAAACGAACCGGCGTTGGAAATGAAGGTGAATCGGAAAATTATATTAAATATCTTACGATTTATTTCTAATTTCTATGTTAAATAATATATTATATATTAACCCTTGATTTAACTCTATTTAAATTGAAAATAATTTCTCGACTAAAATTATCTTATGAAATGATAAATAATAATAAATATTAATTTAGGAGAAACAAATTTACCTTTAATAAATAAATGTCGAGTACAAATCAAATTGGTAGTTTGATGAATACAGTAATATTTCACTCCACCATGTTCTTAATTAATAGTATTTATTTATTTGTATGCACTTAATTGTTCTTAAAATAATAAGCAGCAGTATAATATAAAATAACTATGGAATTGCATCAAATTCTCTGTAATAAAATGTAATTCTATATACATTAAATTATTATAATAATCGAATAACTGTATACCTAATATTAGTTGTGAAAAATGAAAATTTAACGATTACAACCCGATTGTATTGCATGCAGTTAGTAGGTACAGTACATTACAATGTTTGTCAACGAAAATATTATTATATTGTGCGCAAAATGACCAAAATCAAACAATTTTCACGTTGCCGCTTATTATTGTTGTGTTAAACTACAGGAGACACGAACCCAACAATAATAATTATTGTTCAAAGTGATTTACTTAGTCACGTCACGTCGACGTCGGCGATATGAGTGGTATTAATGTGTCATAATGTGATGTCTGAGCTTGGCCCTAGGTACACTTTTTTCCCTGGCTTAACGAATTACACAGTAACGCACTTAAAAATCACATTTTGAAGAGTCGAGGGCGGCGGCGGGGGCGTTCGAGAATGGGCCTGCAGTGTTATGTTCATGCATTATTCAATACCGAAACCTTTTTCCACATACGCGTATATATTGTGTCGAGATGATAGCCGAGAACTTATCTCTCAAGAAACTGGCGCATTCAATTACGGCGAAACGCTTTCGAAATCTCCGACACTTTGCCGTTTTAATCAGATGAAGTACCGGCAATAAAAGGATTGCTCGGCGCCAATAACGTTTGTACCTACCTAATAATAATAATAATAATATCAAGGTTGGTTTTTCACTGGAAATGTTTTAAACGATGTATGACAACGGCTGTAGGTTTTTAATTTTCGTGTATAGGTATAACGCCGCCACTTTCCGCATAACCATGGTATGCCTATTATACCTAAGATTATGGCAGAGAAAGAGTATTGGCTACGCAGAGTTGTGTGTGTCCACCGCTGTTGTGGCTGCAGATAGACAAGAAAGTCGTTTGTCAACGAAAAAGCTAATACCCATGGCAAACCACTATAATATGTATATATATTTTTATTTTTTACTATAAGCTTCTTAAAATTACTTTTTTATTGTGAAACTGGTCTCGTAATTTTATCGTATGTGATAAACATTTAGTTCGTTTACTTTGATTCGTGTATTTACTATAATCTATAATTCATGGAATTGTTTCGTAATTTATTTAGGTTTATGCTATTAATTGATTTCATGTTTTCATGCACGACATAGTAATATTATGTGACACCGAAATTAAAAAAAAAATACATCAACCAAAGTGATTTTTTCATTGCATCGTTATTATTTAAATATCACATTTCAAAATGTATATTTGTCATAATATGCTCTAACTTCTATGCTTTATAGTGATAATGACGATTAGATATGACAAATATTAAAAACTGGTCCAGATTTTCAAACAGGTTATTAATTATTAATAAAATATATACTATTTTATATTGTCGGTAAATGAAAGATTATTATTTAACCTACCTACCTATTGCAATAGCCAATATTATGCTTATTATGTGAATCTTAAACTTCATATATATTGAAAACAAAATAATCTATTGATAGTACCTAGTAATAAAAATAATAACTTCCCCTATATCTACATACCACAAAACATATCAATATCAACTTCCTGAAACTAATAAAATTCTCAACACCACTTGCGCATTATGCCCGTAATAAATGAATAACTATTTTGTCTAATTATGTTATCAAATGTATTCCTGTCAATTAAACAATAATAATATAGGCAAACACACACACACACACACACACACACACACACACACAAACGTCATTTTCAACGTCGCAAGGCTAAGTTTGCAATTATGCCCCTTAGCCACACCTTATTATTTGTGCTATGCATACACGTAGAGAGTTGTGAATAGGTTTTTTTTTTTAATCTACTTACAACGACGTCGGGACCTCGTGAGGAAACTGATATGATAATGGATATTATATATTATTAAAGTGAGCTATACACTGTACACAGTGTATATAGTATTTATTATGTATGTGCATTGTAATGCACTACAAGTGTTTGGAAAAATAAAATTGTGAGCTACACAACTACACTGTGGGTCCATGTAAACGATTCACCAAACATCCACCGTGCTCAAACCCATTTTCCTATTAATAATGTATTTATTCAAATTCTGATTTTTGAAATCTTTTAGTACACTTAAAGTCCACATTTTCAAATAGTTGGATTTTTTTGTATACCAGTATTACATTACACATTACTGTGTCCTATAGTTATAAAAACTTATATTTTTAAAATTGAAAACCACCAGTTTTACTGTAAATTGTTAGGAATTTATTTTGTTTTTAAAACGTTGATGCAATGTGAACGAGTATTATTTCATAACTAAACTATTTTTGTGTACAATATTTGTTATACTTAGTGTAGTATTTAATATTTATTATACTGTTGAACATTCGTAAAAACTTTAATGGAATTTATATTAATTATTATACTTTCAAACCATCGTATCCCTCATATTTTTAAACCTACTACGATTTACAGTAAAATGTTGCCTTAATTACATAAAAACTGACAATTTAGAAACAAATAGTTAAAATTTTATTTTAGATGCTTCAAAGTTTTCAAAAAAATCATATAATTTGTATAGTAATAAGCGTTCTTCTAATATAATAAAAATAATTGTGTCGAATAAATCACAATAGGATGCTCCTTAACGTGCATAAACAAAATGTTAGTGCCTACCCGTAAACATTGTCTTAAATCTTATTAGAAAATGTAAGAAACTAAAATTAGAATAAATTCATTATTAAAACATAAAAGAGTGATAAGCATGCTTGGAAAATCGCCCTGTACCTATATATTGTAATTTACTATATTTTATATAACGAACGTCGTATATGATTATATTCGAATACCATATAAAATTACCCTTCAGCGTCTGATCGTAGCCCTTTGTGAAGAACAGCATTGCCTTGGCAGCCCTTTCCGGGGTCTTCAGCAACCCTTGGCGTTCGGGGTTTTCACCCAACGCACTCAAAAGCATCTTGTATGAGTCAGTCATGTCCGGCAACAGGGCTTCCCTGGTGGGTGGCTTGTGGTCCAGCTCTAAGTCGTGGTGAAACGTGCAGTTCTCGTGACCTGTGGACCGCAACCGTATTTTTGACATCAATTTTTTTATCCCACAACACCCACACACACTCACACACATATACATACACACACACAGACTATTAACTATGGGTTGTGGTGAAAAATGAGGCTCTACCGCACGCTCAATTAAACACATGGTAAAAGTCTGTATATATATAGGTATGCATGTGTAGTATGTACAATGCGCATTTTACATCTACACACGTATTCGTCATCGTAAAATATAATATTATACAATATCTTAACGCATCAATATTAATAATTTCTAACTATTATTAAAGTTTATGAATCGTCGTAACCGTACCCGGTGTCTTACCCGGCGTGGTGGAAGTTCTGGGCGTTTTCGGGTTGCCCGTGCCGTCAAATTCGTTTTCGTCTTTCCACGACGCGAGTTTCTTCAGTGCCGGAGGTTTATTTTTTTTAAGCAGACTCACCACGTCGGTGCCGTTGCCGTTGGAAACTGTAGTGGTCATGTCTGTGCTGGATATCACTTTCGGACGGGGATAATATAATATTTTATTGTCTTGTCAACGCCTACCGGTGACGATAACTGACCGCCGGGGAGAAGATTGGAATAATATAGAGACGGTAATATTAAGGTATATTAGGTAAGGTATTAAAATTGAGTGCCTCTGTATTGTGACGGGGGAGGAAAAATAAAATGATATCGACAGGTTGACTATCGTGACGGCGGTGAATGCGAAAGTGAGCCGGACGTCTGGTGACGGTCAGCGCACGACACTGAATGCGATTCCGGGAGAGTATCAAAGCGGCTCTCGTGGTCCGGTCGGGTCTTCGGAGGAGCGATTCGCGCGTGTGCGAAAGAGTGCGCGCCGGACGAATTTATAATATGCTCGACGGCGGCGGAGGGGAAGTATGAAGAGGTGCCGCCGCGTATCGGTAGTCAACTTCGCACTTTTCTCCCTTTCCCCTTAACTCCCTCCCACCACGCCCCCCCGTCCTCGTAGTCGTGTGGTTTTCGACTTTGACTTTTGTCGAAGGATCGACGGTACGTTATTAAAATTATGTAATGACAGGCATAGTATATTGTAATAATATAATATGTAATAAAAAGAATAAAATTAAAATAATAACGATAACAATATGAGTGCCAATTTTGTATTAATTTATATCATAATATTATAGTATTATTGTGCGCGGAATGCTCGCGATCGGACTAATCGAAATTTAACGAAAGAGAAAAGTGTTAGGTTAATATAGGCATAATATAATAATAATATATTATAAAGCATAAATGCGTCATGCCTATTATCAAATTAATGCGATGCAAATTTAATTGTTTAATAAGTACCTTACCTATATAGTGATATTTTTCAAAATAGAAGTGCACTGCAAAGTGCTTTTGGGTTTTTGCAGAGTAAACATTATCGGCGGATTTGTTTGTTTTCTCTCAGCTCGGTAGAACGTCTCAGATGCAAATAACGATTTTGTTTTATTGAAATTCCGGTATATAATAAAGGGATTAAAACCTTGACGTTTTGGTTTTGCGTAATCGGACTTAACGGCCAACCGAATAATCGCTATATTAAATAATAATATGTCTCGGACAAATTTATTTTCAATAAATGTTCAAATCAATGTTGAATTGTTCCGACGATAATAATATAGTTTTACAAAGTTCGTTCAAATTATTATAATATTCATATGACATAATATGCGTATTTGATGATGACGATGTGATATATTTCATAGAATATTTGAAATTATGACGTTAACGTTAACTGATTAGTTAAGAAATCGATTATATATATTATATTATCATAACGAATTAGTGAAATCGATATTTTAGTTAAAATATTTATTTAGATTATAATTATCTTATCTTACTGAATCGTAAATAATACGGTGGTCAAAAAAGTCAGTGCATTTGATAAAACCGATTAAAGTATACAGATGGTAAAATAATAATAAACTCACAATAATATAATAATAATATTATGTTTTATTATGCATTTCGTGGTAAATAAATAATATAATAATGTCGTTTAAATAACTCAATACTCGTTGTAGATTTATTGTACTGTCTATCAGTATATTAGGTACTTACCAATATACATGTTCTCTTTGGGCTACGTGCGTTAGCACATGTAAAATAGTCAACGGTTTCGAAAGGTATATACAACAATATAAATGAATGATTCAAGGACCTTATTATATTAATAATAACTAGGTATACGGTTTGACCGTAAACGAGCAATTAGTTGAGATAGTAATAAAAAATATTGTGTGTATATTATATTATCATAATATCTACGAAATGTGTCTGATTAAACGGCCCCGACACTTAAATCGTAAGTAAGTATATTTTGGAGTATCAAAAGTAGGTACCAACGGGACTGCTGAATTTTACTTTTTATCAATATAATCTTTGTTGGAAAAACAAGGTATTTGTTACCTCAAATAGGTAACGTAATAATAAATTTATAAATATTTAATTCCTTATTAGAATTGATAAAACGCCAACTTATAAAGTAATGGCATTACCTACTAATTATTTTCTTCTTAAATTTTGGAAAAACTAGTCTATAAAAAATTATTTTAATTAGGTAGGTAGGTAGTATAGGTATTAGGTATAGGTTGAAGCTAAAAGTTTTTCACAGGACCGAGGTTTATTTAAATTAACCAGTGTTCAGAAACTAGTTTACTATATTGATTTTAATATTTCACTTTTACCTACCCGTTATATAATGAGTAATATACATTATAAAACTAGTTCTTAAATATGAGTCTCGTAAATTTTACATTATAGGCACTAAACCTATATATTTTACTTTTTGTTCGAATTCAATGTTTTTAAAAGTAATGCTGCACACATATAAATATATTATTCAATAAGTTATTAATACTAATTGTACCTACAATCATAATACTGTATTGGTCAGTGGTCTATAATGTGTACCTAGGTAGTAAATAATGGTAATATTGTTACAATTGAAATACGATATATTCATCTAAAGATCTAGTATATTCACTACTAAAGCAAAACAAATTAATATCACTGGGATTGAAAAAAAACTATTCTACGCAGTTTAATCCGATATAATAAAATGTATCTATATTATTTCAATAAGTACATTTTAAATAGTAGAATACAATTTTGTAAATACCAACAAATTTTAAACTATAATGGCCTAAGAGTTTCTGATGTTTTCTAGATCAAAATAATAATACAATTAAAAAAAATAGCTTTGAGAATAAAAATGACATTCATGTTATTAGTTTTCATTATTACAGGAAATTAATTTAATTTGAATCAATTAAAAACGAAAATATCTAGAAACCAATTTGTTTTTACATTAAAAAAAAAAAATACTTAGGTATCTTATTATAGTCGTACTTTAAGTAGGTACCTAACATATTATGTAAAGTGTTACGTATAAATTATACGACTAATTTGTATGTATTGATTTATTGACAGGTAGGTTGCCGACGTTTAGATAATTTGGATGGTAAATTGATATTACAAATAATTAAGTTATGTAAATATTTAATTTATCTCTTAATGTTAGGTAGCTATTTATAATTATAACTATATTTTTTATCTCCTTTAATATTTTTTTAAATCAATTTTCTCTAATATATAAATATTACATAAATATTATTCAAAATTATAATAGGTACTGATACATAGGTAGTATCCAAAAACATATAATATCAACAAGATGATGAGTGATTTATTATTTCAACATTATACAGAAGAAACTTTAAGCTTGGTATGTAGTAACTTCACAGAATTATTGTTTTGTAAAATAAATTCTATAACGTCATCAATATTTAAAAATAAATAATAATAATTTTTATAGCTTGCCAAGTTTTATTTGACTATAGATTTATAAATATAATATAAATAAAATATATATTATGTTATTATTATATTAATTAGTATTTGCATTGGAAAATGAAAACAAATAATAGTTGATAAATCCTTTTTTTTTAAATCGGTTAATGTAAAAACTGGTTTTATTAAATCACATAGCTAAATTGAATAAATAATAATAGATCCCATAATATGAATCAGATGATCAGTTATTTTACAATGTTTCATCACTATATTGATTTTCCAGAAGCATTAATAAATATTTTATTCAAATGATTATTTCAATATTATATGTGTGTAAATGAAATGTTGTTCGAACCTGTTACATGAAATAAAATAACCTTGCGCTCATAGACTGTTTTGCATGTTGTTTAATTATTTTTGACGATGGAATTATAAAAAAAAGTAAACAATTTTATTCCGTGTGATTATCTATACTGAAAATCTTGTGTTTAATTATGATCAGCGTAAGACGTAAGTATTTGTATCTACTTATTACCTAACACAATAAATTAACAATAAAAGTAAACTGTACAATTAGGTACAAAATACCAAATTAAAATTAAAACTTTATAAAACCATTATGATAAACGAGTCTCTTAAAAATTGACTATTGGTCGTCTCTCAAACACATAATAATATACAAAATAAATTATAAATATAAAAAAATTCGGACTAAAAAAATGTTTAAAATAAAATAAAATGTATAGTTGATAGGAATGGATATATATATAATATTATAACATAATTAATTAGAGGGTTACTGGTCACCATAAGTTTTAATTTAATTTTTAACATAATATATATTGGGCGACGGCTTGAATTTATTTTCGAACGCAATGTCAACGTTTTCAAATTTAAAATAAAAGCTAGCAAGCATCACGGGGTCTTCAGAGATCAATACATAATTTACTCAATACGTGATGTTGTGTCCAGATTGATTGTCCTAACTTGAACTATAATATTTTAATTTTCGTTAGTACTCGGAGTACTTGCTTTTAATTTTTTTATTTAATTTTCAACTGACAATATTTCTATCATCAATGATGTAAGACCATTTTAACATCTACCTAAGTACCTATATTACATTGTCTAAAAAAACATAAATCAAATGACTTATTGGTTTATAAAATGATAGCGTCCATAAAACATTTTATGTAAGCAAATACCTAACACAATTATAGGGGATATCAGTACTGTTCAATTCATTTTTGGTAGATTAATATAATTGTTTGGATATTTTTAATTCTAGCAGACGTACTTTAAAACTGTCAATACAATATTTTAGGACCCGGATTAAAGATTATAAAAAAAAGCAACTACAACAATCAGCATATAGTGCATTGATATTGGCCGAACATATTCCATAGAAAATATAAAAAAAAAATCAATAAACATTTTCGTGTGGGTACCTGCCTTCAACGCCATTTAACGGGATAAGGTTTCGAAGTACATTTTAATCTACTTGCCGAAAAGTAAAAAGTCAACGAAAAGTGGATATAAATCCAATTATGAGTATGACATTCCATTGATGATTTTGTTACCAACTCATATTATGTTATAGAATTATATAACTAATTAATTTTAACTATTGCATAATAGTATAGGGTTGTATAAGAACACAATTATAAGTCA